TTAGTCGAACAAGCCCACAAAATTTCAGGTCTGGCCCAGCTTTTTAGCTATTGATCGGTTCACATTTTATCCCTTTAAAACCCTATTCTGGTATCGTAACTTTAACGGCTTGATCCAAAAGGACTTGTGTTAGGTTTAAATCTTTTGAGCTCAGGGATGACCCCCAAACATTCATTAAAATAAGGCATTTCTTGTCCTGAGTCATATTTTCAATTGTTGAGCCTCTACATTGATATCTTGGAGATAATGAGAAAAATATATCTACGCAGACCATTTCTGCCATATGGAAGTAACCTTTCCAGACTAAGTATTCTCCTTGCTTCATTTTAAAACCTTATCAAGATTTCAACACAAAGAATCCAGATCAAAAGTGATTCTTAGATTTAATACGAACACTCTTGGCTGATGCCGTTCAAGTTACGATACCAAAATGAGGTCTTAAGGTATAAAATGTGGACCGATCAATTGTTAGAAAGCTGGGACAGAGTTGAAATTTTGTGGCCTTCTTCGACTAAGGAGATGAGTTCTGAACCAAGTATCGTCAAAATCAAAGGACCGCCTTTATTTGCAAGCTCTAATTTTGTGAAGTTTTCATTAGTTTTTTCTTAGTAATTCCAAGTTTTTCATCGTTTTCCAAATTTTGTTACTTATATGAATACAAAAGTCTACAGGGAAGACAATGAAGCCTGGCTGGACCCTTTCTGACTACACATGTCAAATGGCCACGGAATGTGACATTCAAAGTTGACAAAACTTTCACATCGCTGTAAAACCTGAACGGTCACTCCAACCATCTCAGTTCAAATTACGATAGGTCTTAAAGTAAAAAATGTGGACCGATCAATAGCTAAAAAGCTGGGCCAGACCTGAAATTTTGTGGGCTTGTTCGACTAAGGGTTGGTGAGCTCTGAGCCAAGTATCACCAATATGGAAGGACCACCTATTTTAGCAAGCTCTATTTTCGTGAAGTTTTAATCATTTTTTTTTTAAAAAAAAATATTTCCAAGTTTTTTATCTTTTTCCTAATTTTATTCCTTATATGTATACAATAGTTTGTAGGTAAGCCAATGAAACCTGGCTGGTCCCTTTCTCATTACAAATGCCAAGTAGCCAAGGAATGCGACATTCAAAGTTGACAAAAGTTTCAAATCGCTATAGAATCTGAACGGTTTGGAGTTGCTAAAAAAAATTGCAGAGTCACTCAGGGGGTCATCCTGAGTGGATTGACACCTATTTTGGCCAATTCCATCAGGGCAAGTTGCGGGAGGGGGGCGGGGTAGGGCGAGGGATAGTACGGGTACAGCTAGACATCCCAAGAGAGACGGAAAGACTGTTCGCCGGATTGGCTGCCTACCTTCACGGGGCGTCTCAGCCGATTCGCGCGCACAGGTTCAGTAAAATTGAGAATTCTTGTGTTTAGAGGCCGAAACCCAACTTTTTCTATATACCAATCGAAAGCTTATAAAATTTTGAGTAAGTGAGTACACACTTGACAAGTTAAAATGCTGCCGTTTACTTATTTTCTTAATTGGAAAAATTTGTATTGCAAATTTTGAGTTTTAGCGGCATTTTTGCGAAGTTTGGCATCCACTTACCCGATCGGGCTCATATTGGTACCGTTGGATTCGTCTTAAAATTCCCTTTCGAATGGTATAAGCGGCATGCGTGTAGCTCATCACCCTGAGCTATGAAGCTCAAAAATGTGTATTTTGCTTAACTAAAATATGAGTGCAGAGTTGTTTATTGCGGCCTACAGCTCCTAAGTGAGGGCCACACCCACTATTTTTGAATACAGATATGGAAAGCCCATAAACTGAACTACAATTTAGCTTGGTCGGAAGTGCAGATTTGGATTTTCTACTAGGGTACGCAGGCTCGTGAAATATGGCTTCATTTTCATGTTTTTCGCAATTTACTCCACTGGTAATCACGCTAGACCAAATCTGAGGGCAGATTCGGATTCCTCATCGCATTTTACGTCAAAATAGCTTAACCGCATAAAAATCGGACAAAAAATAGCCTTGTTGAGCCATATTGAAGAAATAACAAGATTTTTAAGAGTAAAAAATTAAAACGCCGATTCTGACGAAACCACTTGAGATATCGACCTAAAAATTTGTGGGCATGTTCCTGACCACTAGGGCTACCTTCGTGCCAAACTTGGTCGAAATCGTCAAAGGTCACCCAGATCCGTGTAAATCTTATATGGAATGACCCTGCTCCGAAGAACGTCCCACGCCCTGAGAAAATTTCTCCGAAAAAAAAAATGGAAAATGAATGGAGTCTCCATGAACGTGATTATAGGGTTTTTCTCCATAAAATTTCGGAGCTAATTTCTAACAGTGCAGACGACGGCGACGGCGACGACACACAGACACAAAGGCAAATGCATTGCATAGGCCCTCGCCCCTCGCCCTATTTTTGAATAGAAGGGTGGGCCAAATACTTGAGTTCTTGACTGATTTTGAGTGATGTCCCCCCTTTAGGGCTCTACTGTCACCAGAATCACGCGGGTACGCACAGCATAAGTGTTGATGCTTTTGCTACGCGCTTGGTTTACTAAGTTCAGCGTTGAAACAAGTATCCCGACTAGCAAGATTCGGAGGTGCATCATGGCGCTTCATGCAGAGGCGTGTGAGCAGTCAGCCTGCTATCGCGTTGGTCACGCTCCAATTTTACAGGCCGTCCAGCCGAAGTTATCAAGCGAATCTCGTCAGTTCGCACGTGACGACAGCAGTGCAAGTTTCAGCATGACAACGCCAGTCATGACGCCTACTAAATGATCCAGGAAGCGGAAGAAGGGGATAACTCAATTTTGGCCATTTTTCAGGAGAAACATAAAACTGTTAGCAGGGAAAACTAAAACAAAACAAATGAATGTTGCACATGGGGGTAATTCCATGTTAAGATCGCACACTTCCCGACTTCGATGTCTCCGATTTCGCTCATATTTGGTGAATCGTCACCAATTAGTGTATAGATGACTCGTGCAAAACGGTTTTGGTCAGAAGTGGACCGTTCCGGAGATCTGGATACGTGATCATTTTTGGTCATTAAAAAAACCGCGGTGCACTGTGACACAAAATCACCCATAACTCGGTCATTTTTGAAGATATTGCAAATCCGAGGCCAGATTTGGAAAGAGCATAAAATTTTGCATAAGACTGGCCACTTTTTAGGTCGACAGGTCAAAATTCGTTTTTACACTTTTTCTGAACATTACAAAAATCTTTCATGAGCTACCCCCAAAATACCTATGTTTCGATTTGACTCATATTCGGTTTATGGGGCCTCTATACCAAGTGGAATAACCCCTTAAAATATTGCGACTCGTTTTGCACTCGTTTAGCCGTGGTAAGGTAAAACGTTCTACAACGCACCAGAAAATCACGTTTTTTTCGCGATTTTTCGCGTTTCAGCAATCGCGGATGGCCCAGCCCCATTCAAATCTCATGCGGTGAGTGGGGAATGCAGTTACCACTTGCATCTGGACCTCTCAGAAGCCAGAAAATGTATTTTGTGGAACTTTCGGGCCTAGTTGGGATTTTAGCCCCTCGCCCTGAAATCACGCATTTTTGCATGATTTATTGCCACGGGGCTCAAGTGGGGCTCTAATGGGGCTCGAGCGGGGCTTAGGTCGGGGCTCAACCCGGGCTGTGGATATTGGGGCTTCGGTTGGCCAACCAAGGACTATTTGGAAGGGAGAGCGATATGGCAATACCCCATGCCAGTAACCCCCCGGGCCCCGCCCCGCCCCGCCCCGCCCCTCAAAGCTGCAAAACATGTCGCTTCATCGTCGTTTTAGAACGACGCGATCGCGACCACACTGGCAATGATCGTACTGAGCTTTCTACCGTCGTTCCGACAAGACGACAGAACGACCGGGGCGCGAGGGACTGATCATTCATGACGTGGGAGATGGGGGGCGTCTTAGTGTGGTCGGATCATGGTCTTCCGAGAACGACGAGAACCAGACGGCTGTTTGACCCGCTCCCTCCCCTCCCGTGGTGCTCTCGGCCCGTCTTTCTACGGACGTTAAACGGTCGTTCTGCGGTCGCGATCTGGTAGCGCATTTCGTCAAAACCACGACCGAAGCGAGACGATACAACGACCGGGGCAAGACGCTAGAGCGACGCCTCAAATGGTCGTTCCGTCGTCTTTCTCTCGTCGCTCTGCAGTCGCGGTCCCCGTGGTGCGACCGTCTCGGTCCCGTCGTTCTCAGACGACGATAGAAAGGACGCGTGAACGACAGTAGCGGGCGTTTCAGACTTACACGGGAGGTTAACGCATGATACACTTCAACAAAATTCTGAAATTTAAGATATGAAAATGTCTAAAATTTGATAACATTTTGAAATGATGTGTATATTACATTTCCCAAAACTAAAATGAAAAGTAATAAAGAGTTGAAGATTTCAAAACCGCTTTTAAAACTTAGAAACTGGGTTGTCAAAATTAAGATTGCCTGCCAAAAGTAAAAAATCGTTTCTTAAAATCCACATGACTGATGACTTTTCATAACTAGATTTCTGAAACTGAGTGATTAAAGTTGAAGTTGAACGCTTTAAAGTGATAGCTGTCATATTCAACGTAAACCGAAAGTTTAGTTTGATTACTTCACCCAAACTGTTGACAAGCCACTTCTCACACGGTATGTCCCACAGTCAGCCGCTGGGTTCAAGGTCAGGTTTCACAGACCTCTGCCGCTAGGTGGCGAATAGAGCGCCGTGTCCGTTCCTGAATAAGAATTTCCTATTTGCGTTTCTGAAAGAACTTCTTTTGGCTAATGACACCATCTGTAGCCTTAGTAAATGTCTTCTCTATCCGCTAGCTCAAAGCCCGGACCTGAGCCCCATTCGAGCCCCATATATAAATATATAAAATATATATAAAAAAATATATAAAAAAATAAATAAAAAATATATATAAATAAAAATATATATTAAATATAATTTTATGTTACTTTGTTTCAAAGCCTTATGCCACAATTTCTTTTGTAGGTTTTGTTTTTGAAAACAATCTGCTTGAACCAGATTTTAACCAATCTATCACTTTTGACTCTGCAATGGTCAATGATGATCCCTCCTCCAGCTCTAATTATGATAAGCCTCTCTATGAAGGCGCCAGGATCACAGTGATAGACACAGTTTGTGCAATATTAACTTTTGCTCGGACTGAACATATAAGTGCCATCGGACTTGGACGACTCCTCCAGCTGATGAACCTTCTTCTTCCAGTTGAAAATAACCTTCCAAAAACTACTGAAAGCTTGTACTCAAATTTTCCAAAGGGTGATGTTGAATTCTTTCTACATTACTATTGCAACAAATGTTGGGGCTTCCTTCCTTCTAAAGACAGTGTTTGCTCTGAATGTGAAGTGACTAATAAGAAAGTAGAGTACTTCATTACTTTTTCAGTAGTGAATCAACTTCAAAATCTGTTTAAAAGGAAAGAATTTGTTAAACTACTTGAGTATAAGAAAAATAGGGTTAAGATTAACAAAGACAATTATGAAGATATTTTGGATGGAGGATTCTACAAACAAGCTCAACAATTTTTGGAAGAAAATGATTTGACTGCTACTTGGAACTCAGATGGGGTGTCATTGTATGAGTCCAGCAATTTTGACATTCATCCTTTTTATTTAGTTATAAACGAGCTCCCTCCATCTGAAAGATACAAAACTGAAAACATGTTGCTTGCCGGAATCTGGGGCAGTAAGACCAAGCCTCATCCTAATATTTTTCTTCAGCCAATTGTTAAAGAGATGGAAAAGTTGAAAACTGGTGTTAAGGTTGTTAATGCAAACTTGGGTTGTGAACAAACCGTGCGTTTGTTAACATTGTGTGGCACTTGTGACACTCCTGCCAGAGCCATTTTTCTGAATATGAAGGGTTTTATGGGGTATGATTCGTGCCCATTTTGTTTGACATCTGGTGAAAAATCCAAGCGTACCGGTAATGTGATGGTTTTTCCATTTGAAGAAGATTTAGAGCCTCGAACAGATACCAACTATAACCTTCATGTTAACCAGGCCACTGAATCTCAATCCGAAGTAAAAGGAATTAAGGGCCCCTCTCTTCTGTCACTGATGTGCATGTTTTCAATTTTAAAGTCAACAGCTGCAGATCCCATGCATTGTGTGTTTTTAGGAGTACAAAAGCAGCTCTTAAACTTGTGGTTTTCCAGTTCACAGGATTATTCCCTGTCTTCTTCTGTACACAAAATCAATGAAAGGTTATATAATTTACCAGTGCCCGATTTCGTTCAAAGGACAATTCTAGGTGTGGATAAACTAGCCTATTGGAAGGCTTCTTCGTACAGAAATTTCTGTTTTTATTTTGCCTTACCTGTTCTTAAAGGAATCATGAAAGAAATTTATTATAGTCATTTTGTTCTATTTGTTGAAGGTATTTCTTTTAAATGGATCTAGTATAAGTGATGCAGATATCTTGCGAGCAGATGAACTTTTATGTCAATTTGTTCAACAATTTGAAGTTCTTTATGGTGTGCGAAATATGTCATTCAATGTCCACCTCCTTAGGCATTTAGCTGAATGTGTCCGTAACATCGGCCCTCTGCACTCAATTAGTTGCTTCATGTTTGAAGATTTAAACGGACGGTTGGTTTATATGATTCATGGGACCAATCATGCTTGTTTGCAAATTGCATGAAACTTGGGAATTATTCAGAAATTGCCTGGTGTTGTGAGTTCCTTAAATAATAGTCATGCAAAAATTTTCTGCGAGAAGCTGCTTTACAAATGGAGGAGACATGCTCTTAATGAATGTTTAGAATCTGGAACCTTCAGTGTTGGTAATTACGACAAAGCTGTGCTCCATGGAGATTTATTAACTGCATTACTTTCAACCCTGTACTCGACTGTTCCTAAATTTGCTACATTTAGTCGCTTGTTCCACTCGAAACAATTGTACGTTGCTGAATCCTATTCAAGAAGTTCACGTGTATCCAGCTGTGCTAAGTACCAGTCTGATAATAGTTTCAGTTTTGGAAAGATCTTAACCTTCCTACGCTTAAATGATCATGGTCCACGCATGTTTGCTCTTGTGCAGAAATTAACTGTTATACCATTTGTGAGAACTCGAGGGTTTCTCACTTGTATTTTCTTCTGATGGAGGTCAAGTGGACTTAATTCCGGTGTCTCGCCTCTTGACTGTGTGTTTTTACTATTCTGTTAATGAGGAAAACTTCATTGCAGTGCCTCTGAACGGGATTGAGCTAGAATAATGTTTAATGTAAAAAGGGTTTTCATTATTTTTTGTGGAATTTAACTGTTAAAAATATACAGAATATCTAAGTAATTACCTATCGTTTTAATATATATGACTGACCTGTCCATACACATTGAATACAAAAACCAAGGACTATTTGAAGGGAGAGCGATATGGCAATACCCCATGCCAGTAAACCCCCGGGCCCCGCCCCGCCCCGCCCCGCCCCTCAAAGCTGCAAAACATATCGCTTCATCGTCGTTTTAGAACGACGCGATCGCGACCACACTGGCAATGATCGTACTGAGCTTTCTACCGTCGTTCCGACAAGACGACAGAACGACCGGGGCGCGAGGGACTGATCATTCATGACGTGGGAGATGGGGGGCGTCTTAGTGTGTCGGATCATGGTCTTCCGAGAACGACGAGAACCAGACGGCTGTTTGACCCGCTCCCTCCCTCCCGTGGTGCTCTCGGCCCGTCTTTCTACGGACGTTAAACGGTCGTTCTGCGGTCGCGATCTGGTAGCGCATTTCGTCAAAACCACGACCGAAGCGAGACGATACAACGACCGGGGCAAGACGCTAGAGCGACGCCTCAAATGGTCGTTCCGTCGTCTTTCTCTCGTCGCTCTGCAGTCGCGGTCCCCGTGGTGCGACCGTCTCGGTCCCGTCGTTCTCAGACGACGATAGAAAGGACGCGTGAACGACGGTAGCGGGCGTTTCAGACTTACACGGGCAAAACTGGGGTTTTAAGGGGGCGTTCAAATATGACGTCAAACTTTTTGGGGGGGGGGGTAAGCCAAATATGACCAAATGTGACCGTGGGGAGGGGGGGGCAAGGGCACGTGACATCACATTCCGTCGTTACTGCTGAGGTGATAATATGCTAAATTTGAAAGGCGCGCGCAATCCCGGGTTCTCAGCGCATGCGCTTGGCGCGATCTAGCGGAGAACGCGGTACTACGCGCAGGCTCTGCGAGGTTGCCGCACGCGTCGCAACACGCCCACCATCTGAGGACAGTGACAACTTTTAACCTTCGTAAAACGCGTGTTGTGGGCGCATCAACATGCCAGTGGACAAAGACAAACTGTTCCAGAGCCTTTTTGGTGTTTTCAAGAAAAGCCATTGTGGAAAGCCTGCTGGCAAAGTGCAGGCGTTGTGTGTTGCGAATGGAAACAGATACGCCAAAAGTGCAAGCAGATGACAGTCTCTTTGAGGCCGAAGTGAAGGCAGTGATGGCTCGCGAACAAGCGACAATAAGAAAGGGCAAATACTGAATACTTGTCCAAGGTAAGGATTTTTTACTGGCGGAGTATCTTGCGATTGACGCGGGGATTTGAGGTTATGTTGCCCTGCGTTCACGCCGTATAGTTCTTTCGGGAGCAAGGGCCATTTTCAGCATGTCATGTCTATCATAGCGTTTTAATTCATTTTCAAAGGGCCCTTCAACCCCCCTCTTCCACTATCACTCCACCACCGAGGCCGACTTCGTCCACAAATTCGCCTTCAACTTCGGCTTCGGACAACGCCAGTGACTCGCCTGCCGCTGCTGATCGCGCCGCCGGCAATGAGGGACCAGAATCGCAGGAATCGGACGTGGACGACCCTGAAAGTGAAGGTATTTTACAGGATTTCATTTTCTAAAATTAAAAAAATACGTTTAGGCAACGCGTCGAGCGTACAGGCGAGCCGCAGGGAGTACAATTTCGCTATTTTGAGCTGGTCGCGGTACGGCGCCTGTAGAGTAGACAACCCAACGCACTTGAGGGTGTTTGGGGCTGCGTGCCCTCGCGGCGCTATTGCCATTCGTGACGCTGAATTTAAGTTTTCGTCGTCTTTCGCAGGTTTGGCACGCCGGCGGCAGAAATCGAGGCGGAAACCAGCCCAGCAGGAACTTGCAGATCAAATCCGCCTCCTGGAGAGCGAGCTGAACTGCAAGTTACTGGCGCGCCGATCTGGCCTAGCCCCTGACGACAACGAAAAGCAAATTTCACAGGTATTTTTCTAAGCCGCGACTGGCAATACTCTCAGCGCTAAAACCACATGTCATGCTTATTTTGGTTTTTGTTTTCACAGTTGACCAAAGAGCTGGACGAGTTGAAAAAGAAATTGAAGAAAAAACAAGATGATGTGAAACGGGCGCAGAAGAGCAGATCCAAGAAGAAAAAGAAAATGGAGGCACTGTGCGAAGAATTCCCCGAAATTAAGGCTCAGCTGGGCCAGAATCCCTCGGCCGGTAGACCATCCATTCTATCGCAGCAGCCCGAGCTACTCAAGACCATCGTGGAGATCGCGATGTTTTCTAGCGGGGCGGAGGAGAGGCGACGCGACGAGAGGCTCAACACGTGCCAAACGCTGGATGAGCTGACTGCCGAGCTGAACAGGCGTGGTTTCGAGATAAGTCGGAGTGGAGTCTACCTTCATCTTCTCCCTCGCGACCCGACTACAAGGGAGGGCAAGCGGCACGTCAAGACAGCTCCTGTGCGTCTCGTGAGGGCTCAAAACAGCACCCACAAGACCCACGCCGATGGTAAATTTGCGACCTGTACCATCCGTTGCCTGGAGACCTTGGCGGGGTACCTAGGTCCAAATCAAGTCCTTTTCATGTCCTTGGATGACAAAGCCCGCGTTCCGCTCGGGAAGACGGCCGCGAAGGTGCAGGCGCCCATGCTCATGAGCCTCGAGTACAAGGTGTCCCTGCCGGACCACGATTTTCCCGTCGGCCCGCGGCACAACCTCATCCCCAGCGTCGCAGCCATCATTGAGATAAAGGAAGATCTGCTGGGGAAGCCAGAAGCTGTCACATACTCTGGGCCAACATACATATGCATCCGAAGCGGAAAGCATTCGTCATCAACAGCAAACACGCACGCCGACGATTTCCGCCGAATGGCCGACATGGACGAGTACAAGAGCTGGTTCAAGACGACGGATGGTCGCATGAAGCCCGTGGTCATCATGACTGTGGACGGGGGCCCAGACGAGTGTCCGCGGTACAAGAAAAATATTGCCTTTGCCGTTGACCACTTCAAAAGGAATGATCTAGATGCAATTTTTATTGCAACGAATGCACCTGGCCGCTCTGCCTTCAACCGGGTGGAACGCCGTATGGCGCCTCTAAGCAACAGGATGGCCGGGATGATCCTCCCACATGACTACTACGGCACCCACCTGGACAGCCAAGGGAACACCGTGGACACCGAGATGGAACTCAACAACTTCAAGAAGGCAGGGGAAACCCTTGCAGGAGTGTGGTCCGGCATGACCATCGACGGCCACCCTGTACTGGCGGAGTACATTGAGCCCGGTGGGGAGTGCGACCTGCCTGACGCGGAGGACCAGCACTGGTACGCCACGCATGTGCGCGAAAGTCAGTACATGCTGCAGGTTGTACGATGCAGCTCCTCGGAGTGCTGTGGACCTTTCCGCAGTGGTCTGGCTTCCGTGCTCAATGGCTTTATGCCTGCACCAATAAGAGTCCAGCAGACAAACCGTGGAGTCTGTGCTGTGGACCCAGACTTGGAGGATGGGCATTTTATGCCACTGTTTCCTCGCCTTGCCTCAAAGGTGGACCTCAGCCACATGGGATTCAAGCGCATCCCATACGATCTGTACTGTCCCACTGTAAGGTCAAAGCTTGCAAACCGCATTTGCCGTACTTGTGGCATATACTTTGCCAATGAAGAGAACAGGAAGCTCCACTGTAGGGTTATGCATGGCACCGGCGTGGACAAGACGACGGCAAGCCGGTTGCGTCCATCCTCTGTCATCGGACGTCGGGCCAACGAGGTCCTCTGCAAGGTCTTGTACGACCACGAGACGACCAATGTGGAGTGGCTCGACGAGGATGAGGTGGACGTGGTCGGCGTCACGGTCGACATACCAGCGGTGGAAAGTGTATGCCCCATAATCCCATCTATTGGAGAGTGGGTTGCTTCCCCATGGGACCAAGAATCCTAGTCAAATTGAGCTTTTTTGTATTTATTTTACAAATTGTTTTGTCCTGATTTATTTTTATGTCATTTTATTCTATGGATATGTTGTAATAATGTTTAACGTTAGTAATAATATTAACGCTTCTTTTATGAAGAATGACTCACTAATGTTACAAAACATTAAGAATTTGTGTTTATGTTTAAGAAAGAAACTCTTCTTTTCTGTTTTTCATAATAAAACAGGTTTTTTTCACTTATTTCATTTTGTTTTATCGCCTTTTCCTTCATAGGAAGCCGCCTACAACATGAAAATTAACCGTTTCTTAAAAATTTAGAGCGAATTGATCAATATGGGAAAATGTGACATCACAAGGGGGGGAGGGGTCAGCTCAAATCGTGACCAGCTGTGACAGAGGGGGGAAGGGTCGAAAAATGAGCCTAAAAAGTGTGACGTCCATTTGAACGCCCCCTAATCATAGGATGAGGTTGTCCACAAATTTTTTAGGCTTCAGGGGCCCCCTTTCGACTTTTTAACCCTAAGGACATGCCTGGAAGTGGCCATGCAAACAAATTGCCTACCCACAAGGCGTTTTTGAAATTTTTCCGATTCTCAGGGCCGTTGGGGGGTCTGAAGATTTTTATCCGATCGGGTGATATTTAAAATCGTTCATATTGGCCTAAATTTTGGGCCCCTGTTGGGAAAAAAAAAGTTTTTTTTTCGCGGCACCTAGTCAATGTACGAAAAGTCCAAATTTTGGGGGACTGTTCTTTTGAAGAAAAGTACCAAAAAGAACATTCACAGACGAAAAAAAATCATTTTCACCCGCTAAATGAATACAAAAGAAATGGTTCCTTTGATTGATGCGCACACCTTGGCTTTTCCACTCCTTCCAGAAAGTCAGAAATTAACAGCCAGTACCAAGAAACGCACCTTTTATCGCCCTTTCACAACCAGGGGCCCCTGCCAATCGGATTTATCGTCCTTTCACAACTAGAGCTCTTCCCAAATCGGACGATAGGCAACAAGGAGCACCGGTGCACGTTCGGTTGCCCGCCCAACAGCAGTCGAGACCTGAGGTGTCCCCAACACGGCCCGAAAGTTCCCCAAAATACATTTTCTGGCTTCTGAGGGTCCAGATTTCAAGTGGTTCTGCATTTCCCACTCACCCCTTGAGATTTGAATGAGGCTGGGCCATCCCCCCTTGCTAAAACGCGAAAAATCGCGAAAAAAACGTGACTTTTTGGTGCGTTGTAGAACGTTTTACCTTACCACGGCTAAACGAGTGCAAAACGGGTCGCAATATTTTAAGGGGTTATTCCACTTGGTATAGAGGCCCCATAAACCGAATATGAGTCAAATCGAAACATAGGTATTTTGGGGGTAGCTCATGAAAGATTTTTGTAATGTTCAGAAAAAGTGTAAAAACGAATTTTGACCTGTCGACCTAAAAAGTGGCCAGTCTTATGCAAAATTTTATGGTCTTTCCAAATCTGGCCTCGGATTTGCAATATCTTCAAAAATGACCGAGTTATGGGTGATTTTGTGTCACAGTGCACCGCGGTTTTTTTAATGACCAAAAATGATCACGTATCCAGATCTCCGGAACGGTCCACTTCTGACCAAAACCGTTTTGCACGAGTCATCAATACACTAATTGGTGACGATTCACCAAATATGAGCGAAATCGGAGACATCGAAGTCGGGAAGTGTGCGATCTTAACATGGAATTACCCATGGGTCATTCCATGTCAACTCAACCCAGAGACGGAATCAATGTCTCCGATTTTGATGAAATTTTGCACAGAGGTCACAAAAAGTGTCTATAACACTCCCCTAAAATGGTTTTGGAAAATTTTCATTTTTGCATTTTTGGCGTTATTTTTGGTTTTTTGACCATTTTGGTGTAGTGTTTTGCGGAAACAAGCCTATCTTCCGCAATTTTTGAGCTAGAACAATTTTTTTTTACAAAATGCTCAGAATGAAACGAGGAATCCAAAACTGTTATCAGTTTTTGGATTTGAATTTTGTCAAATTTTTTTGTCACGACGTGGTATACATACAACGTTAGTGAAACATCTTAGTTCTGACCGTAATTTTGCAGTTACAAACTATCCCGCATCATAAAAGTGTTCGAGCACATCCACCTGAATTTTAAAATCACCCGCCAAACAAGTCTGCTGCGTACATGGCTACCAACACCAGCCCGAAAACACAATATTTTAGTTCCGTGATTTACTGCGTGGGCTAATGCCGATTTCGTTCCGATAAAAGCTGATTTCACTCCAGAGTATGCAAGAACAGTTTTACTAATTATATCTGAACGTGATAAGCAGTCGAAGTACTCGATCCCGTGCGCGTGGCAGCACTGGGGTGAAAGATAAACTGAATGTTGTTTACATACAACTTCGTGCCGGTTAGGTCACCGATTTCGCTGGGACGCAATTTGGAGGAGAGACTGGATGTTTTCGTCTTTGTTGGGGTTCTGATGACTTAACACTCAGAAAATATTGTATCGACGGGAAAGATTAACTATTTTTGACAGCTGATTTCCTCTTTTTTGTTTCGTTGCTGTGCCGAACTCTTGTGTGACGCTTTCATTCCTGTATGCGAGATTGGCCGCAATCTGTATTTTGCTGATCAACGTAAAACTAATTGCTGCTTGTCTGTCTCCCTGGCCTTACATTTTTATCGCCATTTTCTCATTTGAGCCTTTGGATGTCTCGATATTTGGTAATGTACTACGTTGTATAGATACAACATCATGCTCTCAGGGGATCAAACCAAACGTAACCGCGCATTACACACGTGCGTTGCGGGCTAGTGTACCCTGCTGTTCGCAGGCGCTCAGTGCGCCACATGGGTGGATGGCAGGAACCCGAAACAGCGGGAAACGCTTCAAAACACACCGAAAAACGTCTACAACTTGCATGTTGTACACATACAACAAATGTTGTATACGTACAACAAATGTTGTATACGTACAACAAACTAAGTTGTTCGGATAAAATGACTCAACGGAGTTGAAATTGGTGGCATCAAGTGTCTTAATCACTCACAATGGTATGTTCGGTAATATTCAACCCCTAACAGAGCAAACCTTATGAGGAAAACAGGAAAGAGAGGTTGAACAAAGTTACTGTACCCCTCAAGGCACGAAGTTGTACGTATACAACGTTCCCGATTTTAGGGGTATTAGGGGACCTCCGTTTGAGAAAAATGACCATTAGAGCATTGAGTTCCAATCTTTATACTGCCCTGCGTGAGTTCTGTTCGGGTATCCAAACTTAATCAATGGCACATTAGCGCGTAATGTACAAAAATAGCTGAAATGCCCGTGAAAAGCCATGTTTTTTAGGCATATGTACAACTTATTTTGGTATATTTGAATATATTTTTGGCTGAGCGATAGCGAAGCCTGTTACTCCAGTGGGGTTGAAAAGTTTTGTCTGTCTGTCGGTCTGTCTGTCGGTCTGTCTGTCGGTCTGTCTGTCGGTCTGTCTGTCCGCACTACTCCTCCTGAACGGCTCGGCCGATCTCGGTGAGATTTTGCACACTTCTTGGGTATGTCCTTGGCTCGGCACACGCGAAATTTCACCATCCTAGCTCAACTGGTTCAGTTTTTATAGGCGAAAAACACCTGAAAAACGGCGAAAAATAGAGATTTCTGCAGATAGACCACTTCTGTCTTGGAAAAAGGGGGGGTCTGGGGGGCGGAGCCCCCCAGCCTCGACAAGTTAAAAAGTGACAAGGGTCAAGATCGTGTTATCTGTAGATAAAACAACTCTATTTACAATGTGGGGGGGTCTGGGGGGCGGAGCCCCCCAGCATAAACAAGTTAAAAAATAACCGACAACGGACAAGCCATTGCCTGCCGCAGGCAGGCTAGCGCCGCAGGCCAAGGTAGGTACGCCAGGCGTGGATTGGAGGAACAGGCAGCGAGACATCGCGAAGCCTGTTACGACAAGACGCGGTCTGGCGTAAACCTACCTTGTATAACAAGGTAGGTGTACGCCAGACCGTGTCTTGTCGTAACAGGCTTCGCGATGCTGCGCCAGTTTCGACATCCACGCCTGGCGTTACACCTACCTGGCCTGCGGCGCTTACCTGCCTTCGGCAGGCTAGGTTTCTTTTCCAGGCATCCGCACACCAATTTGCGTGATTGAAGGTCAAAACAGCATTTGATTTCGTGCCTAGGGCTGCATTGGCCTGACTTTTTAACTTGTCGAGGCTGGGGGGCTAGACCCCCCATTGGCCTGACTTTTTAACTTGTCGAGGCGGGGGGGCTCCGCCCCCCAGCCCCCCCTTTCTTCAAGACAGAAGTGATCTGCCTGCCAAAAACTCGATTTTTCGCCGTTTTATAGGTGTTTTTCGGCTATAAAAACCGAACCAGGTGAGCTAGGATAGTGAAATTTCGCGTGTGCCGAGCCAAGGACATACCCAAATAGTGTGCAAAATCTCATTGAGATCGGCCGAGCCGTTCAGGAGGAGTAGCGCGGACAGACAGACAGACAGACAGACACACAGACAGGAAAAAATTTTCAACCCCACCTGAGTAACAGGCTTCGCTATCGCTCAGCCAACAAACAAACCTACTACGACCAAGCTCAGAAGCTCAGACTATACCTATGCCCATAACATCGAAAATTGTAGATTTTGCCCTGTGACCCGGAAGGCACGATGTTGTATACATACCACGTTCATATCTCCATAACTAAGCATGGTAGAACATCCCAGTTTGGCTCAAAATGATCCTTAGGGTAAAGTGCCGAACATGGATCGGGGTACCAAACATGGATCATTTCTGTTTGGGGGTCTATATCTAAAGTCCAGGTGGCCAGATTCTAAATTTCTGTCTTTCCCTGCTTAGACTGACCCTTTGACTGTTGGATGTGAGGCTGACAAGTTTGCAACTGCGTCTCTCTACTCTGCAGGGTTGCGTTTAGAAAGACACCAAAAACAGGCCCCCCAAAATCGCTGAAAAAATGACGTTCAAAAAGGTGATTTTTGCACCCCTGATTCTGAGCCAAACAATCACCGCAGTCACTTCAAAATTTTTCATCGTGCACTTTAGACGGACTACTTTGATATTTTGGGAGTGCC